GGTTTAGAGTTTAGATACTAGACTACTTACGTTGAGTTCAAGAAATGCCAAGACCGAACCCGAGAAATCTAAGGTCTCATATATTAAAGCTTTTGGGCTATTTTGATCCCCATGGTAGTACCAGCAGCATTAGCCGTGAAGATGCAGAGGCAGTGGATCTGATGTTGGAAGCTTTGTGACAGCTACAGTTCGGGGTTTTGGGGCCTCTGGATTGTTCCTTTTTGTGGTTAACGTCGGGGCCTTAATAATTAGAATAGGGTTTGGGGGGGGCCATTATACAATAATTATAAGAAGGAACCCCAAAATAGTCTGGACAATCCTTAAAGCTCCTGCATAACTTCTGGGTACCATCTGCGGGATGTGGTTTTTGGAACCTCGCAGCTGCCGATCTCCTCGATTCTGGAGTGGAGGAAGTTTGAGTGCATTTTGGCCACGGTCTGCAGTCTTTCTGATGAGGGTTTCGGATGTAGCATTCCCGCAAAAAACTGAAGAGTACTATCCAACATACCCTAAAAAGCTCTTGGCAAAAAAACATGATGCACACTCGCATAAGAAGAATGCCACTAATGTCAGTTTGCAAGAGGGCTTACTTTCTTAAGCCTCGAGTTAACCGTAAACTCGCCCAGCTGCTGTTGTTCCGCCATCTCCTGGGAAATTCCGTCGGGTTTCGATGTTGGAGAATCCAAAAGACTTGAGTGACTTGAGGCTCCTAAACCCTAAACCCTAAACCAATTAAGTCATGCCGGTCTCTGGGTCCACGTACGGGTGCCTTCGCAAACTTGCCGCGCGAGAGACTACTGTAGGGCCTCGAGATCCGATGTCCAATGCGACCTCCTCACCCCTTTAAACACTTGATCATGAAACAAGTTGCTCAGTGATGATATGGCCAACTGCTCTAAAGTCGCTGTGCTACCTTCTCAGTGATCGGCGCCTCAGCAGGATATTCACAATGCCCAGACAGTAAATGCACACGTATTACATACGTACATACATACATACATATGCATACATACATACAGTTTATGCATACGCATGCTTGCATGCATTATGTCGGTATGTAGGCATGCGTGTATGTGCGCAGGTCTGTGTGTTTGTCTGTCTGTCCGTCTGTCGGTCTCTCTGTCTGTCTGTCTGTCTGTCCGTCAGCATGAAGGTATGCAACCAACCATGTGTGAATGTGTATGTGACAGTATGTGTGTATGTGCATATGTGTGCATGTGAGCATGCATGTGCGCATGCAGGCATGTCTGTGTGCAACTACGCCCGCATACATGTCACATGTCTATCATATAACTTTGCGTTTGTATGTGCTGGAGCGAGATGGCGGATGCCTTGGTCTCTCAATCCAACAGCCGTAAATCTCAAAGCCTAAAGCGTCGAACTGTGTTTGCTTTCGAAGACAGCAGATGACCCTCGGGAAGGAGATGTAAACACACAATACCATCGCATTGGTCGTGCAAGTAGCAGTTGTGGTGTATCTACGTATGGTTGCGAACATAAAGCCTTTCGACAGCCGTTACAGTAGAACGCTCTTGAGGAGTCACTTGTTGCCAACGGCCGACTGTCAAGCACTAGCTTGGGGTTTCCGGCGTTTCAGAATTCAGGGTTTCCTGCTTTCAAACCTTCCGTGTTCACTAAGTTTCTCAGGGCATTGAGACGAGGCACCGCGCGCAAGACACTTCTCACGGAACCGTCGTCGCCGCTGACGCTGCAGCCTAGGGATACATGTATTGCACTTCCTCACGTATGCCTACGGCTCCTTCTGAATGACTTTGACGGATTCTGGGACAGAATCTCTTGAGCGACAGAAATGAGCAGGATACAAGAGGCATGAAGCTTGACATCCACAAGCTGCATCTTTGCATGCCAATGCCTTCAGGTGCTTCGGAGATGCAGATGCACCCAAAGTATGGTAGTTTCAAATGTGGCACTCCTTCAGACTTGAGGCTTCAAGCCTTAAGCTCGAACATGTCCATGACACGCCACAGACAGTCGTGGTGCACACTAGCACGCGCTAATCGCAAACCAATAGGCAATCACACGCAACGGTTCAGGTGCAAGACCGCATGCAGGAATGCCATCGGACAGCCTCGCTGACCCTCGCTGCATGCATGCTTCTCCCTTACAGCTGGGAAGTCCAACACATCAAATGGACACGTTTTCGTCGAACTTTCGACTTTGAAGGCTGAACCGAATCCGTCAACCAAAAACCCTGTGCGGCAGAAACTGTCCACACACACACACACACACACACACGATAGAGAAAGCCCAGAGCCGAAAAAGGTGGACGGAAGAAGTGGAGGTGAGCTTAGGGTATTCGAAGGCATAAGCAACTTGACTCATGGAAATAGAAAACGAAGAATAGCTTTCAGCACTCTCTCACTCAGAGCTCTAATCTTCTGATGTGAGAATCTCCGAAAAGTTGCGAACCCCTCGTATAGACCCGCGATAGAAAAAGATCCTTTCTTTAGCTTCTGAATTTACAATCTCCAGAACTCTCGAGCCCGAGCACTGGGCACCGGACACTTTCCGAGTGGCATGGCCGGAGGCGCCTGCGGCATCTTCTCCACCTGGGTTGCTCAGGGTCGGGGCGTTTTGCGTTGAGGGCTTCAGGTTGGAAATTTATGATTTTAGGTAGAAGGCCCCATGGGGCTTAGGGCTTAGGGTTTATGCTTCGCAATACTTCTCATCCATAAACGCAGTGACCGAAAACCGAAAACCCTATGATTCACGAAGGGGCTCGCAGGGTGTCCTGATACCACCCTGGTAATGAGGCCTAAGTAATGACATCCCCTTACAACATCTTACAACCACTGTATCACAAAATAAACCAACTAAATGTAATGAAATCGTTTTTTGCATTAAGTAGTCCTCATAAGATGCAACGACCCAACTATCCCAAAACCCCAAGCTATGTGTAATAGTTTAACGCCCTGCATGATTCAGCTTTGATTCTATAGCCGACATACAAAAGTATACTCGAAGGCCCAGCCAGTCAGCTCTAACACGATCTAACAAAACATGTCGTCTGCTTGTGGCCAACAGAATTCAACAACCTTCGGAGTCCATATATCTCGCATAAGCAGCGCCCTTTTGGTATTTGGGGTTACTTGTACTTTAGGCCTTTAGGCTTCCATCAGAAAACGTGATAAGACGATGGCTCCTTTCGTGTTTGGGCTTGAAGCATGTACTCCCGCGGAACCTGTATGTTGAGCTCTAACCCGGAAGTCCTAGAACCCTCCTAAGCTTCCAAGCTTCTCCTATGGGTCGGGTTAGAGTTTAGGGTTGGGTAAGACTTACGAGTAACCTAGGCTTCTGACACATTAGGCTACAGAACCCACGGCAGGAGCCTTTTTTCTCCAGGGGAATATGCACTTACATGTGTTGTTCTAGGGCTGAGGGTAGACAGAGTTCAGATGTTAGGGTTGCGCGTTGCATCTGGGTTTGTGCAAGCCGTCTCTGTAAGGTCCCACAATCATTCCCGAATGTACTGCATGATTGCCACAGGAACATGCAGCAGGGACGGCTTGAGTTCAGGGATTTGGGTAGGACCCTTCTTGGGTCCTTATGACAGAACGGCACCTAATATTTAGGGTGCCCCAAAAAGGGACCCCAATTTTGACAACTACCCATTTGGGTTTCGGAATTATACGTATCAGTTTAAGTACTGTCTGGTTCAGCCCAGAGCAGCAGGGGACTAGAAACTCTTTCCATTTTAAAGGTGGCTCAATAGATTCATCGTCATATCATTCAGAAATCACGACACTGAAATAATCATCACCTCCATACCCTAAACCCTAAAGCCTTAGGACATGAACTTAGAGAACTGTCCCGTTAATTTGCCATCGAGGCACAAGCACTGCAGACCGCCGACACTCGCTGGCTTGGGTAGGTGCGCTCCGAAACTCACAAAGCCAAAGCCAACACCCGATAATCTAGGGGCCTTAAGAATTAGAATAGGGTTCGGGGGTATATTATACTATAATGATAATTAGGAGCCCCCAAAACCCTAGTCTAATTATTAAGGCCCCTGCCGTGCCCACGGCCTCTTTTCCGGTATGGGGCTGCTTTTGGTACATTCAGGGTTTCTAGGTTCCTCTTCCGCAGCATCGTGAGGGGCACATGTGGAATGGAAGGTTCGGCTCCAGGCCGGCCGCGGCATACAACTTAAAGATCGGCAGCTTACTTTCTCCCGCTAGCACTGCAGAATCCTCAATGCAACGGTGCAACAAGGCGTTGCTTGGTTGTGATAGGAACCAGAATTTCAGCGCACCGTACCCTGTGTGAATGCCGGCACGACGCCTCGAGCCAAAGACTACGAGATGGAGTCGCTAATCAAAACAAAGTAGATATACCTTTCTTGGGTTTAGGGCCCCTTTTTTCTACTGGACTCAAGTCTAGGGCCCCTAAACCCTAAAACCCTAAACCCTAAACCCCTAAACCCTAAAACCCTAAACCTTAAGATCTCGACTTTGAAGCCCGAAGCCCTGGACTCACGGTCTGCCCCCCTTGCGGATCTCCAAGAGGACGGTGGATTGCCGTGTGCTCGAGGTGTATACGTCTTATAAGGGAGTGAGACCCATCCCGAAAGCTCTAAGCCATAAGCCCATAGGGGTAGTTCTCTAAATTAGGGAGTCTTTCGATAAGGGTGCCGTACTACTTTGGGGACCCATGAGAAGGGACCCCTAATTTCGAGAACCACCCATATCCAAGAAGCAATTGCCCTGGCTATTTTGAATAACATGAGTTAACCTCAAGAAGGATCCCTCGGCTGGCTTTGTGCTGGGATGGCACCAATATCGACATCTGCACCACTCTCCTACTGTAGAAAGGTTTATCATGGCTTAGGGTTTAAGGTTTGTAAGAAGGTTTATCTAACCCCGCTTAGTGGAAGTCCAAACCAATGTGCGCAAAAAGCGCCCTTTTCTCGAGACTACTTGAGACCACCCCAAGATAAGATCTGCAAATAGCTCGCCATGGGGGTGCAAAGCAAGGCGTACCGGAAGGACACCACCTGAGGCATGCCAGCGCGCGTGGGATGGGAAGAAGGTGTGCAAATTGGGCGCAGTGACAGTGACGCATCTCGTGATGTTGGGATTCAAACAGGGATCGAAGAACCCTGTCTCGCTCGGAAATGTCTACCTATGTCTGCCTCACCTCCCGCCAAAGAACGCCAAAGGCAAGAACTAGCAAAAGCCCAAACCCTACCTTAACCCTGAATAACCAACTTTTTTAGGGTTCCGTATTATGACTTTTTTATATAAGTCGTTAAAAGTGTAGGTACTTCGGGGTTAAGGTTAATTATCCCAAAGCCCTTAACCCTACGCGTTTTTCTCGGTCCCAAGACTCTCGGAGGCCTCAAAAGGTGGGATGAAGGTAGGTGGGATATTCCCAACTAAGAGTCCTTATATAAGGGATCCTTAATCCTACCTACCTTCATCCCACCTTTTGAAGCCTCCGAGACCCGGGGTCTCACCCTGCGGCAGCGGCCTCGTCGGCAAGAAGCCGTGCCCTTGGCACTAGAGGCTCTGCAATCCAACACTACCTATGGAGGCTCATGGGACTTACTGTAATTACCGTAGTAAGGAAGGTTCTAAAGTACCTCAGTTGGGGTTACAAGTACTGTAGTAAGGAAGGCTATAAAGTACCTTAGTTGGGCTTTTTTTGGCTCCCGCTTGGCGCGTCTGTTAGTTGGGTTTACCAGTACTTATAACTATACCCCAGCCCACAAGGGGCCTTGGAGCCTCGATTGCTAGAGTACAGTTTGGGGTATAGACATGAGAATAAGGACTACAAAGGACAAGAACTTGATCTTTCAGTGCGGCCTTGGCCGTTTCGTACTCCGTTGATATCGAGTGCACTTGCCCTGCCAAAATCTAGTCGCAGGGGACTTGCTCGGATGTTCACGGTCTCTTCGCACCTCCTGGCCTGCAGTGCTTACAGCAGTGCGCTAAGACCCGGGCATGTCCGCTTTCGACATGTCTTCCTCCATCGGTGAGTTCACGCACGTCCTTCCGAAGTCAAGTTAAAAGAAAAGCTTAGGATTACCGCCGGCTCTGGCAACATACTGTAGAGGGTGTAGGCTTACGTACGACTAATACATTGTCACTGACATGCTTATGATTCTAACTTTAGTTCTTCTTACTCTCATTGTTAGTAGTATGATTCTGATTCTAGCCTTTATAATGTCAGCTTTATTACTCTTAAGTTCATTGGTAGCAATACATCTTTGGGGAAACTTCGAGCTCGCACCGAAACCCGAGGTCCGCAGCTCAGCCCCAGCTCCCACACTGAGCCCATCCTAATTAGCCTAGATGCTATGCTCTTGGGCGTTCATAAGTAACCGAGAATTTTGGGCTATGTACTAGAGCTGTATTTTCGGAAACAAGTAACCTAGTGTTTGGGGCTGTATTGTACTGGAGCTGTATTTCGGGAACCTAAGGAGTAGTTGTTCTGAAGGTGTGTTCAGGTCCAGGCCTATCTGAGACACTAAGGCCGGAGGCCTGAAAAGGCGGAGTCCTCGTGCCGCTAGATTTATCCACCAGCACGGTGCTAAAGGTGGAGGACCTGAGAGGAGGATGAGTCCTGTAAGACTGGCTTTAAAACGGTTAGTAAGGGCTCCCCAAGGGCCTATACAAGGGTTCTATAATATAGGGGCCTGAAAAATTAGACTAGGGTGTTGGAGCCCATTATACTATAATCACAATAAGGAACCGCCCCAAAATAGTATAGGTAACTATTAAGGCCCCTACAGTAGAAGGGTGTAGGCTTGGTTCTGAACTCCTTTTATGACTAGAGTGAGACGGTGGGCAGAAGGTTTAAGAGCTAAGGTCTAGGGATTGGGTTTAGGGGTGTAGAGTCCTTTTAGGTACCAAGGCTTTGGGTTACATGGTTTATGGGTTCGGACCCGCGTGATTCGGAGAATTTCGGTTTGGCACGTATCTCTAACGATGTCTCCAATTACCAGAACTGCATAGTATACTTGTCTCTACACAGCCCCTTACAAACTCACTCCCATCCATGCAGCACCGGTACACACTTTCATCTCCCGAAGACCCGAACCTACATAAACCTTACACAAACCCAATTAGTTAAGCTCTTCGAAAATATCAGGCAAGATGGCGAACTCCGCATCCTGAGCCCGTTCTGCTCGTATACCTCGCAACCCGACGACCCGACCAGGAACCAAATTCTGAAACCTGCAAACCCTGAACCACTATGAACCCCTAAGGGAAAGCTTGCCGCAAATCACACGAATTACGCACATGCATAAATACATACATACATAAATCATAAATACTTGCGTGCATAAAGTAGACATAAATACATTCATACCTACATACAGACTGACAGGCGGACAGCCACAAATATCCATGCATGCACACGATACACATATGCATATGCACATGCGTGCATAAGCACACACACACACACACATTCATCTGGATATATGTATATGTACCTGTATGTATATATATATATATATATATACATACATATCTGTATATATAATACACTGTGCATTGATATCAAGCTTAAACTAAAACGAACTAACTAAACCATTTTCATGAACCCTAACCCCTGATCTGTTCCAACACACACACACACACACACACACACACACTTTCAACCCAAACCCTCAGTGTCCCTCCTTCTCTCTCTCTCTCTCTGTCTCTCTCTCTCTCTCTCTCTCTCTCTCTCCCTCCCCCTCTCTCAGCCCAAACCCCAAACCCCAAAATGCGTAAACCGGAAACCATTTATTGAACGAGGTCTCTCTGAAGTGCCTCCGAGAGCCGACCACACCCGTGTTCCGCAAATGACGCAGCGACTGAACTCTGTACACCGGAAACCCTCAACCCTAAACTCTAAATCCTAAACCATAAACCGCCCTTAGCCTACACCCTTTTACACCTGGACTACGCATAGCCTACACCCTAAACCCTAAACCCTGCGCCCTGAACCCTGGGGCCGGCGCCGGCCCTCAGCTCTCAGTGCGCCGCTGGTGTCGACGCCCTGGCCAGCAAGGCCTCACACAAGTTTTGATTTATATATGTATATATATATATATGTATGTATATGTGCATGTGTGTATATATATACACATATATATAGAGAGTACTGTGTGTATATACATGTTGTATGGATATGTACATATATGCCTTGTGGAAGGCCTGTATGATATCACGCAGCTGATTTGTTTGCAGGTCCTGGAACCTGGGGATTACCAGAATTCTGTTGAGGGTGGATGGTAGTCCTGTATCCCTGTTGAACCAATCATACAAGGCTTCATGAGGCTGACATGAATGAGATTCTGTAGTGTAGCAACCAAGATATCGATTTTTGAGTTGTGATGCGGCGGAGACAGCGCTTGTAATAATGAATTACCGGCAGTGTAGATCTGTAAAACATCATTCAACAATTATGGAACTTAATTTGGTAGGGCGCCAACTAGCGAGGGTCATTTCTCACAGCACGATGCATGAGAATGTGTAGCAACGCAACCCCCTCCTTGAACCTCTGCAGATGTTTTTCATGTGTGTGGTCAGTTTTGCCGTTCGAAGACAGGATCCTACTAGAGGCTCTCAAAGCTGTACCCAAGCAGACGTACTCCGACAGTGCTCCATCTAAGAGAGTGAACGCCTGTGCAGTCATAGCTTCGGATCGAAGCTGCCTTCCAAAATCGAGCTTCCCAGCGCATCGTCGCCCACCTGTCCGACAGCTTTAGGAAGCCGGAAGTTAGGCTTGCGTCCATGCTTGCATCCTGGCTACGAAGATGTAGCAGCAAGTACGGGAGCCGAAACGAAAGCTGGATCGAGCTTTGTTTGGTGACTACTGGCCAGGGTATCAACTACAATCAGCTCAAAAGCCTGCGTTTCCAGAGCCAAACATCACACACACACACAGACACGCGCACACACACAGACACACACGCACCCACACAGACACACACAGACACAGACGCAGACACAGACACGCACACGCGCAAGGCTCGATTCAGTGCCGTGCAAAGACTGCACCAAGACTTCCCTTCCAGGTCGTGACAGGATTTCCCAAGCCCCTGGCCGGGCAAGCCAAGGATTGTGCAAACACGACACTATACCCCCCTTAGAACCATTAAATAAAATACTTTCAAAATTCTCTTGGGTTTTATATGAACAAAATAAAAAATAACTCCTGAGGAGACTATGGGACACCCAGGCCTACTGCATCCTACTGCAGGAGCCCAGTAAAACTACCAACTTCATAGCGTCTGGTAAAGATAAGTTTAAGATGCCGCTGTAACCTGAAGCAACAATGGAGCGGCTGCATAGGCTAGTCACGGGTGCGCACTTTACGGGAGCACCGCATGAAGCGATATCGCTTCACATTCTCGTGACATGCTTTAATGTCGGTATCTATAAAACTGCACAAACATGTGTATGTGTACGTATGTTATACATACATACATATATATATATATATATATATATATGTACCAGTATATATACATATGATTATGTATGGATCTATGTGCAAAAACATGCACGCATGTCTGGGTATTTTCCCTCTCGCCCTAAAACATGTCTGGGTATAGCTGATGCTGTATTGTTTTTTGAGACTGAACCTAGTTCTAGCTAATATAGATATCAAAGTATCAAAGTGCACACGTTGCGTCGTTGTTGTGAAACTGCATGCAAAAACTCACTCATAATACGGCGCGCAGTGCTGCAATGTTCATGCATGGACCCAGAGACTCCAATACCCCTTAATTACGGAATATACCTTAAATTACAGTAGGATCCCTAATATGATTTAATTAAGGCATATTCCTGCAGTATTTTAGGGAGATTGGAGTCCCCTAAACCCCAAACCCTATAGATCCCTTCAAGAAATTCTAGGCATTCTGGGAATATACACCCGGCCTTGGTCAGGAGTCGCGCACGACTTCCCAGGCGGGCGAGCGCCGCAGCGGTGTTCGCCGCGTTGCCCCCGCCGCACCAGGCCGTCTGCAGGGCACGCACCTGACAAAACAAAAGTTTAGGGGTTTAGGGTTTAGAGTATATTGCCCATAGGCCCCGTAGTGGTTCATTCTGGGATTACCTTATAGGATTCTAAACCCCAAAAAGGAACTACTATGGTGCCTATGGGTATGTTACATTCTCGAACTCGCACAAGGCAGGCACGGGACTAGCCACCACATAACCAATCCTATGCCATTAATTACGTAAACCACAAACGACACCACAGACCCACACCTGGGCAAGCCTACACATCACCCCAAACAGCACGGCATGTCCTGAAAGCATCAACCACCACCCGCAGGGTGATATGACTGTCCTGATCTCCAATTCACGACTGCAGAATCCAAAATCTAGAGTGGCTTCAAACTGAATCTTACGCACTTATTCAGCATCACTCCAGGTTCCCACTCAGCTGCAATCGGCCAGTTTCGAGGCTCAAAAGTCGTCGTCATTGTGCAGGAAGGGCATCCAATCCAGGACTTGTCTCTCGCTGCGCCTTCGCAGCTTCTGGGCGATACCGGACCAGTTGTCACCAAACAGAGATTATGGTAGGAGCCAGAAAGTTGGAACATTATGGTCCTCATGCCCGTAAGGTCAAGTATAAAATAGCATCAGGGATCCTAGCACAAATCCTCCTGAAGCCATGTTCCAACTTTCTGGCTTCTGCTGTAGCACCCCCACCGTGTGTCGTCACACTAGGGCGACTTTGCCTTTGGAAACATGGCCTCTCCGTCTGTGAGCCCAGTCAGGGGCTCTGTTGCTCAGTCTTCTTAGGGTTTAGGGGTTTACAGTCTAGGGGTTTTACTGTTGAGCTGACGTCAAAATTGCTACAGTAAGGCTTCACTCGCAGGTTTGGGACGGCTGCAAAGTCTAATCAAAAGGGATGTACCGTACCAATACTTCTTTTTCTTTGGAGGGGGGGTCCTTATTATAACAATAGCATAATGTGCCCCGAAACCCGATTCTAATTATTAAGGCCGCTACATATATACTACCCTTTTGGATCCCTTACAGTAGCCCTTATAGAACTCCTTTAAAGGAGCGCTATTCTAATCATAAAGGCCCTATATTACGGAACACACGCAGAGCTGGGCAGAAATTCTGGGACCTTCGCGTCCGTTTCTGGGAAAGCCTCCAGCTGCTGAGCGAGGTCCTCGGGCCCAGGTTGCTCCATTTAGAACGGGAGGGCTGTTAGGGTTTTGGGTTTACACGTTTAGGGTTTAGGGTTAAAGAAGTGTGGGGTGTAGGGACTAGGGTTTAAAAGTTTGGAGTTTTGGGTTTATGGTTTACGTGTCTGTTTGGCTTGGGCTCTGGACTGCTTTGAATTGAGTGTCGGGTGCTTGTTGCCCGGAGCCTTAAGGGTTCTGCCGGAATTTCCGACAGGAATCTTCTACTATAGGGGCCTTAATAGTTACCTATACTCTTTTTTGGGGGGGGTCCTTATTGTGATTATAATACAATGGGCCCCAAAACCCTAGTCTAAATTCAAAGGCCCCTATATATATTGTTCGTGTCTGTAGTTGGGAAGCTACTTCAAAGGCCGCAAAAATAGAACTAGTCAGATATAAACGACTTTTGTAAGATGTTATTACTTTTAAGTATAGCCTCTTACAATATAGAGGCACGCCAGACCCGAGCCCCAGAGCAATCATGCCGGCCCCTTGTAGTATGACTGTGAAACCACAGCAGCCACTCCGGGCTGAGAAGGCATCAGCACTACGAAGTACGTGTCGTTTCGTGTATATGGGGGCCCGAGAAAACGGGGCCAAGGGCCCCGGGACCACGATCACGCGGGTGTCGAGAGACAGGGAAGGCAGCAACAACGAACATGACGCAGTAGGAAGCACGAACTTCAACATGTTAATCTCATATGAATCGGTGTATCCGTTGATTCACTCAAGAGTCTACAATAGCTTCAACATCTCCAAGAAATTCTCCTTGGCATCAAACTAGCCGTGCAGGCCGTACGGGGTTGCACTGGGACCCGGACCATGCAGGCCAATCCGCAGAGCACCTGAATGCTTCCGGTGCATTTCTCTACGGTCTGTCTACCGTCTCACCTTCAACATGTTGATTGTTTAGACAGGTACATGTCCGAAACTCACAACCACTAGAAGCAAATTCCTTGAACGGAGGCTAAGCGCGAACTTCCAGGCTGAACCATTCCACCCTAGCGAGTAAGCCCGAATTAGCTGGTGAGAACCCTACAGGCACAGGCTTCTGTAAGGAGCTTATAATGGTACCAACGGGGCTCTATATGGCAGTGTTGTTAAGGATATGAAGTCTTTGCATAACCATGAATACGCGAGAATCCGAAACAAAGCTGTCTAGGCTCTCGGCGACTTCACTGGCGGTCGCCACCTGACCAAGACAGGATGCTTTCACTTCTAAGATGCTGTTCTGCTCTGACCGCATAAGACCGAGATCCCTCATTGAGCCCTACCTAGATGGTCATACCCTACGGTCCTACTTTTGCATTTGCCAGATCTTGACCATGAAACGAGGTACCCGTGAAAAGGTGTGGGGCATGACCTCCAGGTCTAGGTAGAATCATGAAAACAAATACAAAAGTTTGGAGAATGCCAGAAGTCAGTTCTACAAACTGAAGGTTGGCAATAAGAACTAAGAAAATCGCGCAAGCCCTCCAACACCATGCCACAACCCTGCATTTGTGGACTAAACCTTGCATCTCGAGGCGAACAAAACAACATCCCACGCGTTCATTGTCATGCCTTCTGTGTCTCCCAGGTGAGCGCTGGCGTGATGTACGTTGGAGATTCCTGCAGGCACGATACACTCTGGATTTTCCATCTTTCTAGCCAGCAGGAGTGCAGGAAACAACGCGCACTGCACACTACCGCAACTCTTATACCCTAATATGGTACCCAACTAGTAGGATCCTTATTATAGGGACCCTCCGAATAAGGTACCCCTAATATCGCAAACTCCCAAAAGGCCTGCGGGGCTCTGGCACGATTTGGGGGAGATCGCCGCTCAAACTCCCACACGGCAGGGGGGGGGTTAGGGCTCATCATCGGCGGGGGAGTCGCGACCACTAGTAGGCGCAGGGGCGGAAATTCTTCCAAGCAGGTGCGACTTAGGATTCGGTTTACTACAGGGGAGACTCTGATCTAATGACATGTGCCGCAGAATTGCCCTAAACCCTAAACCCTGAACCCTAAACAACCGTAAACACAAAGCCGGCAGCTCCGATCTTTTGCTCACAGCTGGTGCCGCCTCCTGAACTTTTGTCAAGCTGGAACTTCCCTCAGGCTACCGGTGGCTGCGAAGCAAGGAGGCATCGGATCAACAAACGAAGCCACAACCCGATAATCTATTCGTGTGATCATGATTCCTATTGCAATTATTACTTATTAGTCCTTGTTGGTACCAATATTCTCGTTACGCGTCACCGAACTAATCCCTGTAAGCAGCCTGGTTGCCATGGTGCTGGGAGGGGTCCGGCTCAGACACGAGAGCCTTACGGGATGTACAGGGTTTAGGGTTTAGGGTTCAGGGTTTAGGGGTTTACCTATAGTCTCCATTGTAGTTCCTTTTTTGGTTAACCAATTTTAATGGCTGGGATCTTATAATAGAGCTTTTGGTTAACCAAAAAAAGAACTACAATGGAGACTATAGGTAGGGTTTAAAGGTACCAGAGAAGTGCTATGTTCCCTATAGACTATAGGGCCATGTGCATGTGGTCACTTCCCGACTCCTTGATGGGCGACCTGCAATTTATAGGCTGTAAGTTGTAGGTCTATGAGGCTCCGAAAGTTGAGCTCGTTGCGCTGCCTTCAAGCTACTTGTTCCTATACGGATAACCCCAGCTAAAAAAAACACGAAACCCTAAACCCTAAATCCTAAACCCAAAAGCTGAGAAAACAGAGGATTTCCGAGGCAAGGCACTTACACCAGCACGAGCTTGGCATCCGCCATGCCATACTCCGCCTGAAACCGAGAACGTGAAACAGCTCAGCTGAAACGTTATAACTATATAACTGTAATAAGGAACCCCCCGGAATAGTATTGGTAATTATAGGATGCAAGGCCGACGGGGCTAGGCTTGCGATTTGCAGTTCTGATTTGGTTCAAGGTTGACAGAGCCTTGTCTTTGGCACCTTGGTCCTCAATTCTTATCTTGTACACTTTGGGCCGAAGCGTGCTGGACCAGCAGGGCTTGAGTCAAGAGTAATTACTATGCTTGATGTTGGCTTTTACTATTACGCTGGAATCTTCTCCGAACGATGAATCTATGAGACAAATGGTGAAGGATAATGCGGCTTTTGCTCTTATGTGGGACGGCTTAGGCATTCAGTCAGGTTGGCACGCGCTGCGCGTGCTGCAAGTTATCAAATTTCTTTCCTGGGACTCCTTTCGAAGATGACCTACTTCATGGGGTCCGATAATAAGTAATTAAGTAATTTGGTAACATTAGGCTAGATGAGGAATCACAAGAACGACAGCTGACATTCGACCAAAGAAGGTGGGTGGCGGCCATCGCCACGTCGTCAAGCTCACATCGCCGTCAGCCTCAAACATTTCACGAAACCTTCGGAGTCGAGATGCTGAAGCATACTACTCCCCAAACCCCAAGCCCTAAACCCTCGAAAACCCTCAACCCTCATAAACCCCCACCCCAAAGGGTCCAAGTATCATTATGGTATATATGTAGACCCCCAAAGTACCCTATAAGTATATACCATGATGATACTTGGACCCTTTGGGCGACGATGCTTCTCAAAGAAGGCCACCCTAAACCCTCAGAAACCCCAAACAGCAAGCGACGATGCTTCTCAAAGACTTACCTTTGGTTAGTAGGGAATGGAGGAACGGTAGTAATAGTAGTTATAATTGTACCACATTCGTCCATTCCCTGCTGACCAGATGTAAGCCAATTCCTATAGACCCTATACCCTATACCCTTGTAGAATCCCTATAGATCCCTTGAAAGGGACCCTTAAAGGAACCCAACCAACCAAAGGTAAAGATCCCTTTAAAGGAACCCTAAACCCCTATAGATCCCCCTATAGATCCCTTTAAAGGAGCCCTATTCCCTATTAACCAATGGTAAGAAGAAGGCCTTGTGCTGCTCAAACAGCTGCTCCAAGGCTTCGCAGTACTGGCGGTGGAAGTCGTCGATCTGCCTGAAACTTCCCAAAGACTCCAACATCCCTTAATTAAGGAATCTACTTTAAATTACAGTTGGGATATCCCTTGATTAAGGAATATAGTTTAAATTATAGTAGGATCCTTAATAGGATTTAGGGTATATTCCTTATCTGCCTGAAGTTTAGTGACACTTTGGGACTTTGGGCCTCAGGATTCAGGGGTTTCGGGTCTTTAGCCGTGCTTAGGGTTGCAACTTAGCCCCAAACCCTCAAACCGTCTTGTTGTATCAGGACTTTCAATCGCCTGAAGCCTGAACCGCTCGGGGCTTCGGATTCATGGGTTTCGGGTACGGTTTAGGGTTTAGGGTTTAGGGTTGCAGGGTTGTTTTGTAACAATCACCCCTTGTGCTCGCATTGCTGCGTCCACAAAGCCTGAAAGGTTTAGGCTAAAGGATTCAGATATCAACATGGTTTTAGGTCTTCGATGATGCTAGCAAGAATCTACATCGAAAGCAGGATTCGGCCCCCTCTTGGATGGGAATGTGCAGGTTCAACAACCGAACCGTGACACAACAGTAACAGGGAGATCTCTGCAAGCCGATTCGGAAGGGCAATAGGTTTGCACCATCATGAATCCTAAGAAAGACGCGCACTTGAAGCAAGCAAGCAAAGCATGGCCAATGGGGAACAGCAGAAACTCCTCTCTACGCTTGCCCAAACACCGCACATGCCCATCTGCATGGTCTGAGCTATCTAATGCTCCACATGCACACCGAAATTCCAAACGTACTCCCCAGAACATCTCCTATCGCAGTAATACATTTTCGGTTTCTGGAAATTTTGGTGCCAGTGCAACCAGTTCAAACCGTGAAGCCCAGAGCTCAACTAGCAAACCACAACTCCCACACGCGAAGCCCAGCAGCTCATCCGGCGGATCGGGGCATGTCCCTGGTGGCCACAGCGGTGCACCAACAAGCGTCGTGACCTGGTGACGTCGACAAAACTCTCGCAGTTTGCAGCGCTCCAGGCTCCGATATGCCGATTTTTTCCCGGGGATCGAGATAAATATTTGTAGTGGATGGGCCTCAAAACCAATTCTAATTGTTAAGGCCCCTATACTAAATACTACCCTTATAGACCACGTTTAGTAACCCTTATAGAACCCCTTTATAGGGAACCCTATTCTAATTTTTAAGGCCCCTATCCCTACTAGGACCCTTTTTAAGTACCCTTCTAGATCCCTTATAGTAGCCCATATGGATCGAATTACTTTGAAGTTTTGTTACATTATACTACCCTTTTGGACCCCTTACCATAGCCCTTATAGTAACCCTTTAAAGGAACCCTACTCTGGTTATTAAGGCCCTACGGTACAGACCTTTGAAGTGTTCTTACCCGTGCTGCCCGAGCGGCGGGGTGGCGCCGAGGGACGAGTGGAAGACAGCTGAGGCCGCAGAAAACCGGCAGAGCAAAGCCCAGGCCTGGGATAAAACAGACTCCTAGGGTTCCTGTAAAAGGATCTACATAGGGCTCCTTTAAAGGGATCTATAGGGTTTAGGGAATTCTAATATCCCTTAATTAAGGAATATGCCTTGAATTATAGCAGGCCCCTTAATGTGATTTTAGGGTATATTCCTGAATTAAGGGATATTGGAGTCTCTGGTGTCGAAGAACTTCCGATAGGCCCCATGGTAGTTCCTCTTTGGAATTACCTTGTAGGATTCTACATATGAACCCCCAAAAGGAACTACTATGGGGCCTATGGGTGCGGAGATATGTTGTTTACAACGCAGTGCCCCACTTCGAACAAGCCCTTATAAAACTGCCGAAGGCCTTGAGAGCTCAATTAAGTGGTCCGGGTATTGGTGTGGCAACGCTAGATTCGGTCCTTGGTCACTTCGTCACCAAAGATCCCGTTTGTTTTGCTGTCGAGGTGGACACTGGTGGTATATGCCCTACGCCCTGCACCCTAAATCATTGGCCGTCTCGCAGGAACTGCCAAGTGCAAGTGCAGTGTCTGTCGTCTCAGCAGCTGAAGCAAACGCAAGCCTCATCCTGTCTGCACTGGCTTGACTGCCATGACACGGCAGGGGTCCAAGCCAGCCGGGCAGGCTTGAAACGAACAGCCTTCGAAACCAGATGAAAACCCTGTTGAACCCAGACAGCCTAAACCTCAAAACTCTGCCGAAGCCATCAGTTGTGGCCAAGGGGCGATTCTGAAGTTGCTCCTGGACCTTGCGACGGAAGCTGCCCTTCTCGAACTGTACCGTGGAGTAGACGTCATTCCTCAGCGACAGGTGCTTTTAGGGTTCGAAGCTGAGCCCCTACTCAAGCATTAGCGTAGATGCAACCCAGGTGTACAGTGAATGCATCGGTTTTGTTTCGAGTTATAGGGCGATATCCGCACCCTGCGAAAATACGAAAAAGCAGAGCGTGACAGAGTAGAGAAAATATGTCTCCGTCTTGAGTGTGTAAACTCGAACCTTCAGCCCCTGCTATGAACTTGTAATACTTCCTCGACACACCTTCCAAGTGGTTCGCGTGCGCGGATGCGGACCCAACGGCTTTCGGTCCAGGCGTTTAGAGTCTCGTGGCAGAAAATGAAACCCGCCAGAACTCAAGTATGGAATGTCAATCAGAATGTCTGCGATCTACATAGTGTAGTGTAG